TAAGATCGTATTTTTTGTTTTTGTGAAGAAAATTTAACCCCACTTTCAGGTTACTTTACGAGGAGCCGGGTCCACCTGAAGAAATTCTCCCGAAGCTGCTAAGTGAGCTGGAGGAAGCAAATACACCCTAGAATGTGATGCTAATGCTCACCATTTCCATCAGGGAATCAGCAATACTAATTCCAGTGATGAGTCTATTTTCAATTTTATACTAGATAATAATTTAACAATTTGCAACAGATAGGTGTTCATAATTACGAGAGATTCATGGCTCATCTTCCAATGGGAAGGTCGTCCAGAGGAAGAACCCGTAAAAGGCTAAAAATGTGTTTATTTTGTGAAATATTTACAAATCTGGTAAATTTTGTGTATGTGAGCTATGTCTAATTAAAAGTAGACTTTAAGGACTATCCAATTAAGCCGCGCAGTTTGACGGTCGTCCAAACATTTAAGTTGTTGGTTAATTAAAATGGCCGTTAATTGGAAACTCCAGGAATTTTAACTCATTCGTTAATATTTCATCCTACTTTAAATTCTTCTTTATTGGCCATTTTGTTTTCTCTCCCATTCTTTAGAAAGTGGAACGTTTTTCAATATTTTAATGGAACGTGAAGATTTTAGTAAACAAATAGAAAACATTGATTATTGAGAAGAAATTAAACTGAAAAATATTTAAAAAGCATGGATTTATATGATGACATAGATACAAAACCCAAAGCCTCACAAATCGATGGCTGGTCTTCGGGTATTAAAATGTTGCAAACACAGTTGGCAATAAAAAAGGCCACAACCAAGGAGCAGCCTAAGAAACCGGTGGGTAGTAAATGAAATACTTGGAAATATAGTCTCTATTAAAACTATTTGATTTTTTCCAGTTAATGACACCAGTGGTTAATTTAAAGGCAAAGAAAATTCAATCGCCCGAGGAGATAACCGTTTCCAAGCCATTATCGGAAACAAAACCCATAATCAAGGCCCAACCATTGGTGCCTTCTTTGGAGAACATAAAAACCGATGACTGGGATTTTGTCGATGAATATGACCCGGCATGGCCAAATGAATATGAAAAACTAAAAGAGAAGCGGCAAAGTCTTAAGGATAGAAATCGTAATGATGACCGTGATAGGGGTCGTGGACGTGAACAAAACGATCGGGGTGATCGTAAACGTAATCGTAGAAATTCACGTAATCGCGATTCACCACCGGTCAAATTTAGCGGTTTCGGACAGCGTATTACCGATGAAGATCGTTATAGTCCACCCACAACGACGGCTGGTGTTGGTGGACAGGCAAAAGGTGGTGTGGCCATTGCTCCGCCTCCCTCACTGCAGGAAATCTCAATTGCCAATGAGGGTGATCCATCGTCGAACGTTACTATACCCTATTCTGCTAGTTCAGTTGCGGCCAAAATTATGGCCAAATATGGTTTTAAAGATGGTCAAGGTTTGGGCAAGCAAGAGCAGGGTATGTCCATGGCTTTGCAAGTGGAAAAGACTTCAAAGCGTGGCGGACGCATTATACATGAACGTGATGTATTCTTGCCTCCGCCAACGCCACCTGCAGCAGGGAGTGGTAGCCCAGCTGCAGCTAGTCCAATTGCTAACATGGCTCCTCCGGCGGCACCACCACCGCCATCAACTTCGTCAGCAAGTGGTGAATCGAATTCGAATCCAAGTATAACAGAAATTATGAAAGCCCCAAGCAAAGTTGTTTTATTGAGGGTAAGTTGTGCTTACTATTGGTCTGTTCCGTACTGCAAGAATCTACTCGATATTACTATTTTCTTCGATATCATAAAGGAAAATTCGTTATCGTAGTAAAACGTAGTAGATTCTTGCAGTACGGGAACAGACCATATGTCTGGCAGAAATATGTTTGTTCTAGCTATTAGTATGAGCTATTCATTCTTATGATACAAACCATGGACTCGAATGTTGAATAAATAGTTTTATATATACTCATATTAATTTGAGACTTGATTTTCAATTAATACTCGAAACTAACAAAATTTCCAATACTTAAAGAACATGGTAGGCCCAGGCGATGTGGATGATGAACTAGAACCCGAAGTTAAAGATGAATGCAATACCAAATATGGAGAAGTTGTCAAGGTGTTAATACACGAAGCATTTGGTACGACGCCAGAAGATGCCGTCAAAATATTTGTAGAATTTAAGCGTATGGAAAGTGCCATTAAGGGTAAGTTGTGGACACAATACCATTCGATTTTAATTTTATAATCTAAAAAACATTATTGACAATTTTGCAAACAGCTGTGGTAGATCTTAATGGTCGCTTCTTTGGTGGACGACAAGTAAGAGCTGGATTTTACGATTTTGATAAATTTCAAAATTTGGAATTAAGTTAAGGAATAAGAAATTCGAAAATATATTTACCAAATAAATCATGTAGACAGAATATGATATTTTTTAATTAAGATTGCTATATATTATTTCAAGTATATAAACAATATATTTAGAACTAAATTTAATAAATAATACTTCTTTTTAATTGATAAGGAATATGTATTGGTGCGGTGGATAGACTCTCTGTGGCTAGACGTATCTTTTACTCTTTTTCTAAAAATTAGAATTTATTCTTTTAATGCCGGCATTTTTGGATCACTTATGGAAAATTTCTTGTCACAGCTAAATGATATGGTAACAGCAAATCTGTGGAAATAATATAGACACGAAATTAATATTGAAATCATTAGCAAATGACAAACTATAATTTACCTTGTGCCTTCGCTAACTTGTTCCACATGATGTTTATTTTCCCAGCCCGAGGTAAATGCACTTACTCTACCTCTTTTGGGTTCCACGCTGGATATTGTACGATTTTCACCCTGACCATCAACGAATATAAAACGACCTCCTTTGAAGTCCTTTTTGAAGCTTGTTAAATACAACAAAGATGTGTAATGGAATGATGGATAGGTTTCCTAAAAAGAAAATATGTCCATTTATTGTAAAAAATGAGTTTTTTTGTACCTTATCGACGTGTTCATGCCAATATTCATCGTGTATGGTTTTGGCTGTGGCATTTGTTATTCTTGAGAAAAATGTGGGGTATGTTAAATGCAAGTCTTCAGCGGCAATGCCAAAATGCTCAGCTATTGCTAGTTTTATTTTACCCTTAACCAGCTAGAAAATAAAGAGAGAAAATGTTAGAATTACAATCAAGCATATTACTGCGATCACCTCATCTGGGTCTTACGGTTACGAAACCCAGCTTACTATTATTAACTAATCGAAAACAATATTCTCCTTACATTATACGTCCTTAAATGCTCCGTCGTTATCAGCTCCTTTGCCTCTGGCATTTGGTAGATATTTAGAAATTTATCACCATAGGATAATGCACCCGATTGTATGTCCAATATAGATGCCCCACCAGAAGATCCCGCTAAATTGATAACATTTGTTGCCATCTCCAATAGTTGTTCTACTTCATTCGATTCAATTAATTTATCTGCCACAAAACGACCACATTTCGTTGGTACACATTGGGGAAATTGTTGCATTTCTTTTTCATACTCCTCGGAACATTTGAACTTTTGCATTCGCAAAGCCAAGTTTTCTTTAACTAAGGCAAATTTGGTTTCTTTCGTTTGACCAATTTTGTAAAAGTAAACAATCACAGCCACTGAAATGACCACAACGGCACGTGTCCATAGACGATGTTTAAATGAGCCGGTGGCTTTTCTTAGCTCTTCATTGTTGGCAGCACTAGAATTAAGAAAGAAAAGTTATTAAATTTTTGATGGAGTCATAATTTATTTTTTTTTTTTATATTTTCGTCCTCTAATATGATCTATACATCAGATAGAATCCTGGGCGGGTTTCTGAATTTTGTGTCAATTGTCTTCCAATCTTAGTTGTCATTGCAACACTAAATCGAAAATTATAGCTGTTGTTAGATATATTTTATGTTGCATACTTTTAGGCTTATAAGTTTCTAATAATTGCATTATTGTTTCTAGAAGACTACTTTTTTGCATGCGACTCTATTCTGTTTATACTAACATTTTATTTTTCCGTATATCCTTATTATCCTTTTTTAATTCACTTTGCTTATTCGTATTTTGTACACGTCGTTGCCTTACAGTTTTTTCAGTCATATTTGCTAAATTTTATGTTTGTTCTTATCAATGGAATTGATCCAAAGTCGGAGTTGTTTTGTTCGTGTACCAAAGAGTTCAATACAACTATTCACTGAAAAGAAATGGTGTGAACTAGTCGCATATCAACGGTTCATTCCGTTCATTACTGTGAATACAGGGAAAAGTGTTTTTATCTTTATTTTCATTGTCGATATTTCGAAAATTCGTATTGCGGTTTCATGAAGGGTAAAAATCATGATATAATTAATACAAGGAAAGGGCCTGTTTTATCAAATGAAAATACATATTTTGGGTATGGGTGTTTTTTGTATTGAGTATCCTAGCAAATAAATTCGAATTAAATTGAAATATATTGAAATTTAATGCAAATGAAAATTATTATAACAGCCTGTTTTTGTAAAATTCCAAACGAACGAATTCGAGTGACTTACGACCAAACCTTTATTTATGTTTATAAAAGTTTCTGATTCAAAACAAAAATAAATGACATATTTTTCAAAACCAAGGAGTTTGGTCGTAAGTCACTCGAATTCGTTCGTTTGGAATTTTACAAAAACAGGCTGTTAGTCCCAATTTATATTAGGTGAGTTTAATTGCGGCAAGTCTTTGTTTGTAGGAGAGAGGGGCAAGGGGAATAGAAATCGAAAAAAATGCTCGTACCGGCAATTTGCTGGCAATTCGTTTTGTGAATTTTGTTTGTAATGTCAGTAATTTGAAATACCAATCCCATGGTACAATTATAAAAGGTAACAGCAAGTCCCAGCTGATTTGATTCCAACGTAATACTAGTGTCAATATGAATTTGACAAATTATGTTTTTAAAAATCACCCAACAGGAAAATTGGGAACGCATACAATTCGAAATTGTTCTTTATTAAATGTCCTCACGTATTCATTTTACTCAATATGCCTGTTGGGAAAGTTTAAGGAAGCAAATCCTTGTTCATTGAATAACTCGCAATTCCCTGCATTTTCATATGTGTTACACATATAAGTGGCAATAGATCAATTATAAGAAAGTTGTGGAAGCGATAGAAATATGAATTTGATAGATTTTCATTCATGTTTTTCAAAATTTATTTTGAGGATTCGAAAATATTTTATTTTCAAAATAAATATAATTTATTTGTTTGTTTACATTTTTCTGTCAAACGACGTTGACACTAGTATAACTTACAAAAACAAATTTCCATGTGGTTGTTGTATCGTTTGTTGTACAACAACACTTGCTGTTACCTTCTATTATTATACCATGTACCAATCCAGAACATAGTAAAAAAAATATTTTTGAAATCGAATTGCCGTGTATAGACGAATGAAGCAAGTTCAAAAGAGAACGATAAAAATTGCCGCAAGTAAACTCGCCTAATATAAATCAGGACTGATCGCATTCGCTTGGAAGTAATTTAATTTGATATGGATGAAACTAACATTTCATGGTATTCCCTACTGGATTTTGGGAAGAAATCTTGACCTTTCATTAATGTTTCGTGTTTTAGTTATGTGTTGAAAATGTGTCAAAAAACACAACCACTCGTTAGTATGTTTTTTTTTATATTTGACAAAAGAAGTCATTACCTACATAGTTGCTATTTAATTCATCTCAACTTGTTCTACCTTGTATTCTTCAAGCATGGAAAAATATCTTGGCAGAAACAGTTCTATGTGGGTCCATGTTTTGACATAGCCCTCATTTAAATTTGTCGTCTCTTGTCGTCTCATTTTCCTACAGAATTGGTTGTAATTTGACATTCCGAGTACTTGTTAGATACAAGAATGTTCGTAAAAATTGTCCTTAAAGGATAATGTTCTGACATAGCTCTTGAATCATTATTTATACGTTAAAATACAACTATGTATTGTATTCGAACACTAACACACAATAAATTTCTGCAATTCCTATTTCTCTACTACTCGATTTTACTATTTTCTTCGATATCATAAAGGAAAATTTGTTATCGTAGTAAAAAGTAGTAGATTCTTGCAGTACGAGAACAGACCATATATTTTATTGGCTGCCTTTAATAAAAAGTTGAACTGAAAACATTCGTTTACTTTCCCGGTAACATTTACTCAGTAAGAATTTGCAGAGAGTAAAATACGAATTTTTGGTTTCAAGACAGAAAGTTGCAAAAAGTAAAGGAACGACATCCAGTAAAAAGGTTGTTCGACACAGCTGATTAAGAAAACAAGCGGAAAATTGATGTTGATTATAAATACTTGCGTTTTCTTCACCCATTTTAATGTTTAATGATACAAAATCAATATAAGACTCACAAAACAATAAATTTGCTTGAGAACAATTTTGTTTGTTTACAAAACATAACAAAACAGCTGATGGTGCAAGAAAATTCTTACTGAGTAAATTTTTCCTTGTAAGAATTTGCAATACTCAGTAACAAAACTGTCAAATCTGTTCTCTCAATTCACTCTTTTTTACTGGACTTTTAGATAAACGAACATTTTGTAATAAATTGTACAAATTATTGAGTAAACGAACGAAGCTATTGTGTGTCGTGTTTTCAGAGAATTCCACAGGATAATTCGCACTGGGATGACTGGTCACATAACCTACTAGAATTTGGTGGTCTTTATAACCTTTTGGGTTGGTGCCTGTGGAATTCTCTTGAACTGTTCCTCTAGCCCTTTCACAAGTAAAACAGTAATTTACAATTTTTTACTCGATACACGTTCATGCAGCCACAAGACTAGTAAAATTTTCAACAAAATATAAGAGAAACCACAACAATCTGGCGGACTCCTTTCACGCCTTTTTATATCTTCAGCTATAGGGCTAATTTAATATTGGTTTTAAACCCCATGTTTCTTTGGGCCAAATCCGTTTCATACTATTTGGAGTCGATTCACAATGTTTGTCCATCCCACTGTCTGACCGACTGGTTTGCACGATAACTCTCGAAGGGAGTAACCGATTTCATCCAAATTTGCACATCGTACCTGGCAGTTTTCCCTAACTAACTTTCATTTTGTATTAAACAAATATTAACATTTTATTTTTCCCAATCTATTTTATCTAGAGTAACAAAAAATTCTAAATATACATTTCACCATTTTATATTTAATGCTGTATTCATTTTTTCAACAGCATGATAGTTGGTATGCAGTAAAACTTTTGCCTTATCGGAATGGGAACCATCAAAAAAGTTATTATAAATGGTTTTCGTCGTTGCATTGTTTGGCTGGGATTGTGGTAATTCGCGGTATAACTTTTCAAGCTGCATCGTTAAATCGCGTATATGTTGTCCTGTGGGTGGGCGAATTTGTGCGCCACCATTTATGCAACCTATTAAAAAAATGGTAGGTATTTAATTTTCATTTTATAAAATTATGTTTTTGTGTCATACCTGAAGGACATGCCATCACTTCGACAAAATGATATTGCACCTTGCCTCTTTTCAGTTTTTGTACTAAATTTTGGATATTTCGAAAACCATTAGCAATGGCAAATTTAAGAATTGTCTTGCCGTCGACATCCAATGAGACTTCACGAAAATCGGGATTTCTGGTAATGAGAAAATACATTTAAATATTTATGATTTATTTCTATTTTTATATATTTATTTCAATTTCATTTACCTCAAATTTCAATCAATTTTTTTTTTAATTTTTCCTTACCTCAATGTCTTAAATTCCACTGTATTTACATCCACATTAAATAGTTCTTTAGCTGCCTGTGGAAACACATATTCAGCATAGCCTCCAGATGTGCTTAGACCATGAGCCCATACATGTGTCCCATCATTTGCATTGGCATCTCCCCAGGGCCAATCATATGCGGCACATGGAAAGCTATCCAATGATTTGTCATCTAACATTTGTTCTATTTCAACTGAAATAAAACAATATTTAATTGATATAATTAAATATAATTGATATATAATAATATAATGAACTCAATATTCTTACTTGATGTTATAACACAATCAACATCCTTACTATTTAATGCCTCATCGAAGAAATCTGAACGTGATGCCTCCAGTTTCTTATCATAACAAGGCATTATTGTTATGTGATATATTTTCTCGGGAGAAATATTCAACTTTTGACCAAGTAATTGTTTGGCCAAAACTCCCATAATCTGTTGGGGTGAACGTGTTGTCGAAATATATGGCAATATAAAGTTGCCATGTGTCTTCTCAGCATAACATACCCAACCGGGACATGATGAGGATAACATTGGAAACGGTTTATCGGGTGCATTATCACGAAAACGTTCTATGAATTCATTTCGACATTCCAATAATGCCAAATCATCAGCAACTTTTGTTGTTAGAACATAATCGGCACCCAGCTGCCGCAGATAACCACAAAAATGTTCTGCCGCCTTTTCTACCGGTAGACCATAACGTTGTGCTAAACTTACAATTGGTTGTTGACTTACTGTAAATACAATAAGTTTAGCTTGATGAGAAGTGCTTTCATTTGCTTTCAATTCATGATTTTCCTTCAGCACTTTCATAACTTCATCTTGGCTTTGTTGGGTAATTAGAACGCCTTCAGCCGATGTAATACAACCCGAACAGGCCAGGCAATCTTGTAGTGTTATTTCGACTTTTTGTAATTTTTGTTTTCCAGCCTAGTGGGAAATATGGATAATGTTAAATTTTGGGAAGGGAATATCTAATCACATTATACATACCTCGGTTTCTTCATAATAGCCATCTTCTTGAATGGATATTTTTGCACCAGTCTTTGTTTTGGTCTTCTCGATTGGTACTGGTTTTATACATTCCTAAAATAAATTGATTTTATCAAAAAAAATGCAATTTAGCTTTTTTGTAATGAACAAAATAAAAAATCCTCGAGCACGAGTCTAATGAAACAAAATTCAATGAAATTATTACAAGGCCTTTAAGACCATTAAGATTACATTATATTACAATGTAGACTTTTATTCCACATTTTGTAATACCAAATGATGTCCCCCTCCCTTGCCTTTAAATTAAAATTTCCCCAGATATACTTGCTGGGTCTATTAAACAACCTTATGATTATCGATATGCTACATTTTCCATTAGACGTACTTATGCCAAAATAAGCCTGGCTGGATTTGGAAAAATATTCGTTTTGAAATTCTTTATCGCTAATAAAACACTTTTTCCAGTTGCCGGATTTCTAGATTTCTATATGTTATTCCCTCCAGCTGTGGTCATTCATGTATTTTAATTGGCTAGACTTCCCTCCTTACAACGAAATAGTACACAGCTGTCATTAATGTGTTAAATTGTATTTTTCACAAACATTTGAGTCTCTTCTTACCTGAGATGGTGTAATAAAATCATCCAAATCAGTTAATTGCAATGCTCCACTAAAACGAGACATGATTTCACTTCTTTTTCGTTATAAATTATCACAAAAATCAAGACAGAGGTTGGATTTACCTTGTCTTCGATAAGAAATAGCAACAAATACAAAAAGCTAATTTGACACTAAACGGAAAACATAAATCATATGTTTGAATAGAGTTACCAGATCGAATTGTCGGAAAGTTTACTTGTACGCAGGGCTGCCATATTTGCCGATTTATCGGCATTTTGACGATTTTTCACTCTAAAAATGGAAAATGCCGATTTTCCGATTTTTGCCTCAGAATTGCCGATATTTCAACAATCGACACAAATTGCCTAACTTTTTAATTTAATACGGCGTTACCATACAAACATATAAAATTGGCAGCTTTAAATCATTATAACTATCGGCGACTCACCGCAGCCGTTTTCAATGGCTTAGATCTAGATCTGCATTTTTTGTCAGCATTGTACTCTGTCTAGTTTACATTTTACATCGAATAAGGAAAATCTTTACACTCCGAGTTTAGGGAGTTAAACTTTCTGAATTTTGAAGAAATTTTTGAAAATGCAGAATATAATTTAAAAAGTTTTTGGAAATTTTTTTCAGAAATAAACGTGGGGACTCCAATTTAGCTTTTCCAGTTTTGTCTAAACTTGTACAAAGAATTATGGTTCTTCCACACTCCACAGCAAATGTGGAACGAATTTTTAGTCAGGTAAACCTTAACAAAACTAAAATTAGAAGCTCATAATTCAAATTGTTTTAATATCAAAATTGATAATGAATTACTAAAAATGTGTAATAAAAATATGTACTAGTTTGTAAGTTATTTTTATGACCTTAATACCTGTGTTATACGTAAATCTGAAAGATCTCACTAGTGTACATAATAATTACTATATTTTAGAAAAATCTACATTTTGTATAGAAAAATGAACCTTTTATGTTATTTTTTTATACAGAATTGAGTTTGTTATCTTTTTTTAATGTAATAAACAACATTGATTTGTTATAAACCAAAAAAATATGAATTTATTTATAAATTATATGCTGCCGATTTTTTGCCGTTTTTTAACAATACAAATGCCGATTATGCCGATTTTTTTCTGAAAAATTGACGATTTTTCATGAAATTTAACTGGCAGCACTGCTTGTACGCACGGTGTAGTGAAAAACAATAAAAAGTTATACGTTAGACCAACAGTTTTCATTGCGATTTAAATGCTAAAGGTGCGTTTAGACGATAAAAAAGTCAGTATTTAGCGCTGTTGCCTCATTTATTTCCTAAAACCGGCACAATTTTGCGTCATTTACTATACAAAAAAATAACTATTAAAGCGTCATTTTTTAAACATAAACGCTGTGGAGTTGGTATTTGAGATCGAGTGGATTTAGTAGTTTAACCCTAGATTTGACCGTTTTTCAATTTCAAGTACAAAAACAACTGTATATATAATGACACAGCTTTTTAAAATTTCCCCTCTTTCATTTCCCGTATTCATATGTGCTATATCTATATTGCCTAAAAACGGTAATTTTGACCGCTTTACTCCTAGAGTAAAATCTAAAAGACAGAATAGAATAAAAAAAATGTGACCAACAAACATCACATACAACATATTTTCGCTAACGTAAAACTTATCAAAGTAACAAATCACATAATATATGTGACACATCATGTCAAAATCATGTTTGCGAAAGTTGCACACATAAAAAGATTTTCACTTACATTTGCTCAAATGTAAAAATAATGTTTAATTTTTTTCACTTGACCATTTTTTTATTTTTTAAACATACATACATACATTAATATAAATATTATAAGAATAAAATCTAATTTGAAGCAATATTTTCACATAATTCATTACACATTATTAATACTTTTACAAAGGGGTAATTTTGATCCGATTTGGGGCAATATAGTTATATAGTAAACTTCAGTCTATGTAGTGTTTAACGTGGTCTAAAGCAAGAAAAATGACAAATTCTCTCTCAGAATACGAAATGTTCTGGAACGAAAACTAATAAAAATTTCAAAAAATTTTTTCCAATACTTCAAGATCAATACAACAGCCAATCAGTAGTTGCCATTCCTTGTTATTATTTTTACTCGGCCAAATTTCTCAAGTAAAAAGTTTACGAAGAGAACATCATTTTGCTTGAGTTCTCTTAAATTTGGTTGAATATTTCACTAGTTTTGTGGGTTCAGGAACGGGTTTCGGGTAATAAGTAGCAAAACTTGTAATATTTGTAGCATGATATAATTATACAAGGTAGTCTCATGCAGACATATGATTCTAATTTTTCCATAATTTTACTCATGATATAATAATAGAAGGTAACAGCAAGTGTTGTTGTACAAAAACGATACAACAACCACATAGAAATTTGTTTTTGTAAGTTCTACTAGTGTCAACTCATTTGACAGAAAAATGTAAACAAACAAACAAATTATCATCAAATTATTTTTATTTTGAAAATGAAATATTTTCGAATCCTCAAAATAAAAATTGAAAAACATGAATGAAAATCTATCAAATTTATATTTCTATCGTTTCCACATCTTTCCTATAATTGAGCCATTATATGTGTAACATGTACGGAAATGCTGGCAATTGCGAGTTATTCCATGAAGAAAGATTTGCTTCCTCAGACTGTCCCAGCAGGCAGATTGAGTAAATTGAATACAGGAGCACATTTAATAAAGAACAAATTTAAATTGTATGCGTTCCCAATTTTCCTGTTGGGTGATTTTTAAAAACCTAATTTGTCAAATTCATATTGACACTAGTATTACGTTGGAATCAAATCAGCTGGGATTTGCTGTTACCTTTTATAATTGTACCATGAATTTTACTTTTGACAACATTCAGTTTTAAAAATTTAAATGATAATATCTTCCTTCCAAATGTACGCACAGATTATGTTCAGAGCAAAAATTGCTGAAACAAATTATATTATGAAAATTTTGAAGTTTCCAGCCTCTAAAACATATAAATACAAGTTGTAACATCCATAGTTAAATCTTGAGAACAATGTGCAGGTTTAGAAAATATGGCAATCGACATACATGCAATTGTATAGAATTTATTTTTCATTTTATTTGAACTAAGTACTGATTTATATTAGGCGAGTTTACTTGCGGCAATTATTATCGTTCCCTTTTGAACTTGCTTCATGCGTCTATACAAGGCAATTCGGTTTCAAGAATATTTCTGCTTTCATTTGATGTCAATAGTTTTTTCACCTTTAAATAAATATAAAATGACAACAAATACGAATACACAAAACGAATTGCCAGAAAATTGTCGGTACGAGCAATTTTTTTCATTTCTATTCCCCTTGCCCATCTCTCCTAAAGTCAAAGACTTTGGACCTAATAGATCAAAGGGTTGTCATTTTAAATTTCTCAAATAAGACTACTTTCCATAATTATGGAATGAATTGTAGGTTCTTGAACGGAACTATTAAGGTATTTAATAATCAATATAAAGGAGCGTTATTTATTAGTAAATCGGGCTGAAATTACCTCGATTTACCATACAAAATGAAATCCACTCAATATCTCGTTTTGATGCAAATCCTATGCTAAATCGAGATAATAATTGTTTTTCTTCTCTAAAAGTGTACTTTAAAATTAGTTAATATTCAGAATAACTGCTTGACAAAAATATGTCAGCTTCTGAAAATGTATTTTTTGTTTGCATTCATAATACGGCATTTACATTAGAACTTTTTACCGGGTTAACCTACTTTATGAGGATTTATTTGGCATATATTCAAAGGAATAGACAATTTAAACCCACTGCGTTAACCAAATCTGGTATAATGTAAACTACATATATAACTATAATTTAGGACAACAAAGGCTCGTAACAAAATTATGAAAGTATTGATCGAAAAATTGCCACAGACATTAGGGAAGCAGTAAAATGTGTATGCATACGTAAACAAATAACAGCCCACAAATCAACTTCATTCCTTTAAATACTAGTCTAAACAGTTAGGAGTTGATATCTCGATTTAAAACTCGAGTCGATTTAGAAGGCATAGTCTAAACGCGCCTTAAATCGACATATTTTCAAATGCAACTATGTTATAAAATTCCTAATAGTACGTTTACATTTAACCGAATTTCGTTAACCCAGTTTGTTCAATTGTCAATTCCTTTGCATATACGTCAAATAAATCCTCATAAAGTAGGTTAACCCGGTAAAAAGTTCTAATGTACAAGGAGTTTAACAATTCAAAATAGTTGCATACCAAAAATATGTCGGCTGATGACTGTAAAATTATGTTTAAATTTACAAATTCGCTCCATCTCAAATGCCGATTACATATTGTATATTAACGTGACGTATGCGCTACGGAATTGTTGTTTGAGATCGAGTGGATTTAGTAGTCTAAACGCGCTCTAAACTGCGTGTACATTACAAATTTGTGCTGTTTTGGTTTATAGTACATTTACATTGTACTTGTTTTTGTTAACACTGTGGATTTAAATTAGCCAATTCCATTACATATATGTCAAATCAAGGCCTATTAATAGGGTCAACCGTTTTAACCTATGGTTCTGTTATGAGGATTTATTTGACACAAGATCGATAAATAAGGTCACCCAGCTAGCGAAAGTCAGCTGTTAAATTCCATTATTGTAATATGGCTTCCATCATGTAAACGTAATATAAACCTGTAAAGTTCAAATTTCGATAAAACCTGAACAAAAAAAAAAAAAAACGCGAATTGTTATCAAGCTAATAAAATAAGTTGTCGAAAATTAAAATAAAAATATTTTTGCAAAAAATCTAAGGAAATAAAACATCGATTGAAACGGTATATTCTTAGCTTTTATTCTAAAAATAGTATAAGTCGTTTTTTATTTTAAAATTTTGTTTTATTTCATATTGATAGCGAAATTAAAACAATATTTCTTGTTTAATGTGTTTATTTCTTAATATTACATGTATGTATATATTTCATATATGTTTATTTACAAAAAAATATGTAAACAAAACATATTTTTTCTTTATATATTTCATTAATTTCTTATCTGATACAGATCTATACAATTATCGCAAAAAATAACAAAAAACAAATATACTAACACCTAAAATTCAAAAAATAAATATCATCTAAAAATATTATCAAATTCACTGCGCAATTTTATATACATTTTTGTTAAATTTTCTAAATGAAGCGAAACAGCGGGTAAACAATGATCGGCAGCATCATTTTCCATCATCGATGTTAAGGAACCATATAAAGTTTCAATTTCTGATTGGCAATGCTAAGGGGGGAAACAAAAAACTTATATTAAAATTGTATATACGAGAAATTCAATTACATACCATTATTTTTTGAAGACTAGTGCCGTTGGCATTTGTTAAATCAATACTTTCAATTGATTTCAATTTCCACATTAACATTATTTTAAAATAAAACATTGCTTCGGGATTTTCTGTTGTAATTTCAAGTTGTCGATTTGTGTCGCATCTAATATCTATAGCATGCTCTTGTAAGTAATATAACTTCAAGCAGTCTGCATTTTGATAGCCTTCACTATTTAGGTCCAAACATGACAAAAGTTCTTGTTTGTTTATATTAGCAAAAGTGTGTTTGAGTAGCGTTTGATTTTGTGTTGCTGATGTCGCCTTATGAAATCTTTCCAATTGATAATCTATATTTAATTTTGCATTTCTGTAAATATTTATTTGCCGGGTTAGCGAAAATAAATCACGATATGTATTGACTATTTTACAGCAAGGCACTTCATTTCGTATACAAATATATGTTGAATTATGTTCAACAAAAGCCAAGAAATGTAATGAGAATTCGGGTACAATTTGTCGAGATTTTGTAGAACATTTTACAAGCAGATGGAGTTTTTTATTTAGCAATTCCGGTGGTATTTGTATTGATAATGTTTTACCTTCAAAACTTAATTGCAATAACCATGTAGTGCACTGCATTATTGTTAAGAAAAGTTTATCTCTTTTAGATGTTGTAGTTGTTGTTAGCCGCAATAAGGTGTAAATATAAATTTCTTCTGCCACATCTCTGTCGAATGTGGTTCTTATAAATATATTATCTTCTTGGTGTTGATATTCAATTGTCGATTCCATATTGTGGTATTCTATGCTACATTTGAATATATGCTGCCATAAGTTTTTATAACCCAAAGATAACAGTTGTTGTTTTTGCCATTCCAATTCAACAGCTTCATGCAATTGTTTTGGTAATTCTATTAAATTTGTAACTACTTGAGATCTGCTCAAAAGTAATTTCATTTTTTTGTTGGTCAAAGCGTATAGGCTACTAAAATGTTCATAGCCCTCAGCTAAGTCCTTGATGTTGCTACCACCAGCCTCTTTGCTACTTATATCAAAACATAATCTATAGAATATATTATTTATGCTTAAACAAATTAGTTGTTGTAGACTTTCTACCCATGTACAAGCAATCATACCACTTACAGATTTGTGGACTTCTTTGATCGTATATTCATTGTTTTTATCAGACTTATCCATTCCTTCAGACATTTCTGTGGATCTTATCAAACGTAATTGTGTTACTTCGTCAGGTTTTGTAATATAAAAGGTATTATCCAATGCATTATAATCGTAATGTGTAAAATGGGCAATTTCATGTTTTAAATGATATACCGAACCAAAGGCGGTTGTACTTTTATACCATATATCCATGTGACCAGATTCCAGTAATACTATTAATAAATTTTTCTTACAATCAATCTGTATATATTCAATTGTGGTAGCATATGTATTCAGCAATTGTATGGTATATTCTTGATCTTCAACATTTTTAGGTTCCTCACTTTCCACATGAAAACCTATTATTGAAGAAAAGATAATTATATAACACCAAACATAATTTTGATATAAATAACACTTACCTCCCATTAAAACAAAAAGATTCCCGGATACCGTAAAAATATGTACTTCTTGATTCAGCTCCACCGTCAGTTTTTCATCCGCCCTTCGTATAACATTTCCAATAGATATGATTTTTCTTAAAAACTCAATATTATCTTCATCCGTTATTAACGATAGCAAGATATAACGATCACAAATCCAATCGCAATTGAAAATATTTTCCATATCAAATGTTATATCATAACGGTGACAAAGTGCATCTTTTATACTGGGGCATTTTCCCAATTGTGGTATATCCTGATATACTTCCAGCAATAATTGTTTTTTACTACCATCCTCACCATTAAGTCGTATTACACTAAACTGGGTATAAGGACAACTACTTATACAGCGTACATTTGTCAACCATGGAACACAGTGTATCGATTTAACAGAACTAAAATAATACACTCGGCCACTTTGCATTAGCAGTAAGGTATTCATTTCGAGTATGAGCATATCAAGTATCTCTTCCCGTTCATCCGATGCAGGACACATGGGCATAGTCAAACGAACTTTGGTTAGTGTTGTCTTTTTTGTTTTCGTCGATGTCTTGAATACAAAATTCATTAAATAATTTTCATTCCATGTCACGAAAACGGATTTCCCTTTTCCGGCACTATGATTTTTTAGACCTTTAGCGTAGAACATTGTATCATCATCTATTGACCATAATGAAGTATCATTTTCTTCTTCTGCCTCAATTTGATCATTATTATCATTTTTTGAACATGCCGTTGCTGATATGTCGCACATTTTGTAGTCATTGTCATCCATATTTTAGTTATTTTTTTAATAAATTCTTTATTATAAATAAATTAAACAAATTGCAAAAAAACTATTTAAAAACTTTTGTTTACTTTTATTTTGTGCCGGCTGGCGAAGATCGTGTGTAGCAACGGCGTTAGTCAGTAATCTGCTGGCATTGAGCATAGCTTTTGATCGATTTGAGTCACTGTGAGCGTCAAAATAAAATGTATACCATTAATTTTCGTAATTAAGTCTAAAAATTATTAATAATGGAATATTAAATGATATAACTTTTATTTATTTATTCTATTCATGTACACATAAGCCTCCAAGGCAAATAAATGTATTTATATAAAAAAAAATAATGGTACATTAAGACAAAATAAAGTTTTTATTGAAACACATGGTATAATAATAGAAGGTAACAGCAAGTGTTGTTGTACAAAAAACGATACAACAACCACATGAAAATTTGTTGTTGTAAGTTCTACTAGTGTCAACTCATTTGACAGAAAAATGTAAACAAACAAACAAATTATCATCAAATTATTTTTATTTTGAAAATGAAATATTTTCGAATCCTCAAAATAAAAATTGAAAAACATGAATGAAAATCTTTCAAATTTATATTTCTATCGCTTCCACATATTTCCTATAATTGAGCCATTGCCACATATATGTGTAACACATATGAAAATGCTGGGAATAGCGTGTTATTCCTTGAAGAAAGATTTGCTTCCTGAAACTTTCCCAGCAGGCAGATTGAGTAAATTGAATACGGGAGCACATTTAATAATGAACAATTTCAAATTGTATGCGTTCCCAATTTTCCTGTTGGGTGATTTTTAAAAACATAATTTGTCAAATTCATATTGACACTAATACGTTGGAATCAAATCAGCTGGGATTTGCTGTTACCTTTTATAATTGTACCATGATTGAAACAGAACATATATTTTTAGCATATTAAAAAAATGAAAAAAGTATATTTTCTTACGCTGCACTTTGTTTCCAAGATTTAACTATGGATGTTACAACTTATTGAAATAATAATAAATATAAGTTATTTAGAAATTTTTGCCACTGAATATATCCTGTGCGTACATTTTGAAGCAAAATATTTGCATTTAAATTATTTAAAAGTCAATTTATGAAAAAATTGGAAACATATGACCAAATGAGGCTACCTTCTACAATTATACCATGTCAAATATATAAAGAATTAAAAAAAGTATTTGCTGTTTAAATATATAGTACTATTCAATATAATTAAAAAAGAGACGTATACTCTATGGAATTGGCATATGAGATCGAGTGGATTTCGTAAATCTAAACGTACTTTATACTTTTGGTGTAAAAACAGGTTTGTATTTGAAAATAATTACAACCCTGTTTAGACCGTGTTTAAAAACACCCTGCGCGTTTAGACTATGCCTTCTAAATCTGATCCATTTGTTAGCCAAGGTACGAAATCCTAGTTCTTTAAAGCACATATAAAGCGGATTTACATATAACATTTGATCATGATTAATCATGATCAAATGTTATATGATCATGATTTGATCAAATTGCAAACAAATATTCTTGATCATGAAGCTATGTGTAAGCAATTAGGGCGTATTTCTGGATTTCGTTAATCGAGTCCATTTAAAATCGTATATGCAAATGTACTTTAAGGCTATTTACACCGGCTTTGAGATCATTTCCAATGACTGTCAAATGGTACTTGTTTAAAATAAGAAAAAAAATCCTACCACGAATTTGTTTGTTTAATTTGATTTATTTCCCCAAATACGTGTTTTAGATTTTCTCTTTATTGAAAATCAGCTGAAAAATGCAAAATCATTTCAGCCGCTCAGTGTACACATCGATTCACTCCATAAAAGGAAAAGTTAAAAAACGCTATCACATATGTTGTTTTAAAAATTCTTTTGATCATATGAAATAAATGGCGCAACAACCCTTAATCCTGATTTTCTGTTGTGTGTAAATGGGCTTTAAGTGCGCCTTTACAATGAAATATACATAATAAAGACAATAATAAAAATATTTAATGCAAATGTAGCATAATCCTATTGCCATTAAGATTAAAATTAAGATAAAACGATATTTTAATTAATTTCAATGTAAACGCCCTGTTATAAACAAACGTCTCTGACGTTCAATTGAATTTCACACGACAGCCGTCAATTCAATATGGCAGCAAACTCTGAAGCTGAAATAATACCCAGCATCGCCGTTGTTGTTTCATTCCATCGTTTCTTAACGCCGCCGTTCATCGCCGTCAATTTCACTATGGCTAGCACGGATCTCTGCTATACAAGTACAAGTGAAAAAAATCGAAACATTGATTAGCAAAAAAACAACTAAAATCAGTAATTTGTTACAAATATTTTTTAAAAATTGCGTTAACAAATTCAAAAGCAACAAGGATAGCATACAGTTTTTGTGGACAAGTGAGTTTCAGAGCCATTTATTTGTGAATAGATCCAATTTATCCATCGAATATAAAAGAATTTCGAGAAGAAGAAGAAGAACGAATGCGACGAACGAACAATATAAAAAAGAAGAAAACTGAGTGGAAAAATATGCATAGAAAGTTTCATGGGATATTGATTTACGGAATATAACAATTATTGCAAAATCCATTACAAAATTTCAATTCATACTGTATATACCAGAAAAGAACGCGTGAAGAATATTGTAATTTTAGTGGTTAAGGCTTTGCGCATAAGTTATAAATGATTGGTAGCATAAATGTTAAACAATTCTGTATTGAGTTGAGTTAAAGTTTGGTGTGTGTGGATAATTAGAGTAATCCAATATGAAATCGCAACATGGTGATGATGATGGGCTTCCATATTGCGGCCGCCCTTTTTGAATCTCTCGTACATTGTGATAGTTTTACGTGTATTTTTTTCATGTTGTGTTTTGCCCTCACACACCAATTAAACCACAACCAAACAACCGACGGACCATTAAAATGATTACTCTAGTAACACAGTAACATTAAAACAAGTATCATACGCATCATATTTTTTCCCTAATGCTTCCTTCGAGCAATAATCACACATTTGCATATTATCAGAAAAATAATGATATCTGGTTTGTTTGTTTACAGCTACTGAATAAAGAATTCCAAAATATATCACATTTTTTTGAAGTAAATGAAATACAATTAAACAAGGAGTTCAATACACTTAAGCTGTAATTATCATCGATCGACGAGCTATAACAACAACCAACGTATGCTGTATGCGTTAGTTTGCGCCGCGTAATCAGGAAAGAGGGGCATTTTACATAGCTGTAGTCTCCTACTGGATATGTCTAAGTATTTGCATCGGCAAGACAAACAATTGTTTACATAGCCATGGCTGCGACGAGAAAGCTACAAGGTAAATTCGAAAGGTATTTCAATTTGAATAGATTTTTTTACTAATTGTGTGGTTTGAATATATAGGAGAAATTGACCGATGTTTGAAAAAGGTCGCTGAAGGCGTTGAAACCTTTGAAGATATCTGGAAAAAAGTACATAATGCCACAAATAGCAACCAAAAGGTAAGCATTATATGGAAATAGAAATAATCAAATAAATGTCTAAATAAATGTTTTTTATTGTTAGGAAAAGTATGAAGCCGATCTCAAGAAGGAAATTAAAAAACTGCAAAGGTTACGCGATCAAATAAAATCATGGATTGCCTCTGCCGAAATAAAGGATAAAAGTTCATTGCTAGAAAATAGAAGACTAATTGAAACAGTATGTTGCCCATTTGTATACTAGATTTGAATATATTTAAACCTTTTTTTTTCTTCTATTCTGTCCCCTTTTAGCAAATGGAACGTTTCAAAGTTGTAGAACGTGAGACAAAAACTAAAGCCTATTCTAAAGAAGGTTTGGGTGCTGCACAAAAAATGGATCCTGCACAGCGTATTAAGGACGAGGCCCGAAATTGGTTGACAAATTCAATAAGTTCGTTGCAAATACAAATCGATCAGTATGAAAGCGAAATAGAATCACTGTTAGCAGGCAAGAAAAAACGTTTAGATCGAGACAAACAGGATCGTATGGATGAATTGAGATCGAAATTGGATCGTCATAAATTCCATGTAACAAAGTTGGAAACATTATTACGTCTCTTGGACAATGATAATGTGGAAGCGGAACAGGTAATTCATTAAAAAAAATAATAATAATTTAAAAATAAATTAATTTTGGATTGTTTTTCTTTAACTGAAAGGTCAATAAAATCAAGGATGATGTTGAATACTATATTGATTCATCACAGGAACCCGACTTTGAGGAAAATGAATTCATTTATGATGATATTATTGGAATCGACGACGTTGAATATTCAGGTACAGGTAAGTGGGGTTTATATAAAAACTCCTCTACTCTACACATGTGTTGGTGGTTTTTGTTTTCAAAAAAAAAAAAAACATGACTAACAAACAAAGCAAAACATGTTTATTTTATATTGCTTGTTAAATGTGTAGTTTTTATTGGCTTTGTAAATCTCTACCCTACCATATATATTTTTCCGAACGGTTTCTATACATAAAGGGAGTTGCTGCTTTATTTATATACACATACTAGATAATATTCCATCCAGTTTCCCAATAAATATCAATCTGAAATATATCCCACTCCAAATGTTCTTGCTTTAGGAATTGCCTGTTATAAATTATAAGGGATTTTTCATTTCGGAATTATGTTTTTTGGTTTCATTTTGATTTGTTTTAAATTTATAAAAAAAAACCTTATAACCGGCTTTTCTACCCAAATACTTTTCTCTCCACACTTATATCCTTCTACACGCAAATATCCTCACAAAACACACTTCTTACATACATATTATAATGTACTTAGGAATGGTTTCTATGATCCACATACAAATATATATTAAAAATCCTCTTCCCTCCTCAAAAATAAAAATTAATTTTCATTATTTTTGTATCCAATTGCATACTATATATTTTTTTCGTTTTCTTTAAATATTCAACATTATACATATTCTATGTGTGTTTTTATGTTTTCTCTTTTTTCTCTCTCTTTTACTTATACAAAATATATAAAATCGATCGAAAACAAAATTAAATAACCAATTTTCCATAAATGTGAATATTTATAATTTCGTAAATCTTTATATATATACGATCCTGTTTATGAAACCAACCAACCAACAACTCAAACAATTCCCGTTTCTAAATTTGTGTATATCTCTGTGTGTGTGTTTATGTAAAACTTCTACAAATTGTCCGAAAACATCAACAAAAACACTTCCTAACAAAAAAAAAAAAAAAAAAACCCAAAAACAATTCATCGTCATTTAATGGATGAATGAAAAATTATAAAAACAAAAAACCAAATTCCCAAAAATGACGATTCCAAATGCAACGTCCCACAAAAATTTTTTGCCAAAAAACGAAAACATTTCCATAACATACACGTAAAATACATGTAATCAAACTACTTGGTATGCCATCAATTGTAAAGGTGTCTCACTTGGTATTCCATCATCAGCAACAACAGACAGTAATAATAGTAATGAAACCAGCGGCTCACCAAGCAGTATAACATCCGGTGGCAGTCCTGTTCAGTCGCCATTGCCCACACAACAGCAGCGCGATCAACAGCAACAACAGCAGGCCTCAAATACCAGCGGTAGTGGTGGTGGATCGGCACATCAGCAAATCAGTTTGAATTATTCAAGTGATTCAACAGCGGCCGATGGCACGGCGAAGGATAAACACAATAAAAATGAAAGTAACAACAATAGCAAAACAAAGGTGAGTTGAAAACCCAAACCGGTGTGTAAAATTAAAAACTAAATTCCAATTTATTTATTATTTGCTTTTAATTATTTTTTAGCAACCTGTTAAACCAACAGCTGTACGGGCTAACAATAAGGCAAATATTGGGGCATCAGATGGTAAGAAAATTAAAAATTTCAATTAGTTCTGTGATGTAGAGTATTTACATTAATTCTCCTTTCGTTTCCTTAACACAGCTACCACGAATAAAATCATCAGTTCAACACCTAGTAAAAATCCTCATCAGCAACAACAACAGCAGCAGCAACAACATCACCCCACACAACAACAACAGCAGCAACAACAACCAACGGCGGCAGCTGTCGTTGCTGCTTCGGTCATTGGTAATCACTCAACAACAAATAATTTAAATACAGCTGGTAGTGGAGGAGCGACAACGTTAGCCGCAGCCGTTGCAGCGGCTGGTGGCCATAATAATCCATCGGTACAGCATGCTCCAGCGCCAACGTTACAAGGTAATCCAACATTAGCTTCTGTTGCGGCAGCATCAACAAATTCCACTAATGCAACGCAAATCCAAGGCCAATCTGTGATTCAAGCAACACCGACAATTGCATTTTCCGCAGTTGCTAAACATAATACATGTAAGTGTTGATAATTTTAAATTATATATTATATTTTTTTCAGCATTTTTATTTTTGGTTGTTATTTTTAATTTTATTATTATTTTATTTGTTGGTGTTTATTTTGAGGAGTAGGAAAATTATTTATTTTTTACAAATCAATGAAATTGAAATCAGTGTATGAATTTAGTAATATTATGTGATCGTCGGCTTATTCCGATATCAGATTACTAAATGGAAGTATATGTGTCGATATAGTTTATTACAATTCTCTGTTAAGGGAGCTAAGATAGTCGAAAGTGAAGCATTGTCAAAATTTCAAAACTCTCACAATGGGTATTGCCTAATGTGTATCAGGGAGAATCTGAGACGTCAATAATCGCTAGATTTAATACTCATCTGTACATAGCTTGGACAAAATGTTAACACAACCTCGACAGCAACACATGAGGATATCACACAATAGGAATGACAGGGAATAGCGCTACCCAGAGGGAAATTACAACACTAACTAAGCAAGGACCGCAACCACTGTAAGAATGCATTGCAGTTCTGCCGCCAATTCATTGAGCATCCATAATCACAGAACAGGTCTGCGGAGATCCAAGAATCTTAAAAGACACTTAGAACCCCCCATCACCATAAATCCAGCGAGGTAGAATTATCTCCACATCCAAGCCATCCAAAACCCATAATCCAGACGGCATATCCATGTTGATGTTAAATAAGCTTGGTGCAATAGGGCTGGTTTATCTAAGCAAAGTTCTCGAGTTATCGATGTCACAGTTGGTAATACCTGATATTTGGAAAGTTACCCCATTATTTCAATCCTAAAACCAGATAAATCCGCTACTAATGGGGAGTCCTTCCGCCTTGTTTCTCTTCTTTCACCAGTCTTTTAGAGTCTCTATTTCTTCCGTCCCTGAAACACCATTTCGTTCTTGCTAACCACCAACATGGTTTCAGGGAAGCACAACAACGGCATTGCAAGAAGTTACTTTCAAGATTGCGGCGACGACCACCTGAACGAACCATTGTGGCAGCCTTAGATCTGCCCAAGGCGTACGGTCGATCATTCCGAGCTGATATCTGACATCACATATTCCACCCTTCCGAGCGATGGCTTACCAACTACGGTCGATCATTCCGAACTGATATCTGACATCACATATTCCAACCTTCCGAGCGATGGCTTACCAACTATCAAGCGATGGCTTACCAACTACCTTAATGGGCGTGGAGTTCCGTAGCCAAAAATCCAAATATCGCAAGATCAAAATGTGGGTATCACAAGGCGGTGTCCTATCTCCTATTTTGTTCAACATGTCAAAAATCCAAACATCGCAAGATCAAAATGGGAGTACGGCAAGGACGAGTCCAATCTCACATTTTGTTTAATATGTCAAACTCCCCATTCCTCCACCAGATGTATCAGTGGTGTCGTACGTCGATGATTGTACGATTATTTTGTCCGGCGTTAAAAATGACGAAGTAAGTGCGAAAGTTTCCAACTATTTAGACACAAAGCTAAATAGTAGAGGAGACAGAAGCCATAGTAGAGGAGACGTGTTGGAATTTGCTTATCTTGTTGACATTGATGGTGTCCCTGATTTCGGGATCTAGTAACCTTTCTAGTGTCTTTAGTAGAAAGGAAGAAAGCCTAATCGATCTATCGTTCTTAGGTAGCTTGTGACACGGCATTCCGGCTTTCGGAATGCATGTTACAATCACTTCTTTTCATAGACTTGGTATGTACGATAAAGTCAGACAAGGCAAAATTGTGTCTCATCAAAATATTGGTTTTAGACCACACGTTTCTTTGGGCCAAATGCTTTTCAGACAATTTGGAGTCGATTTACAAATGACCGTCCGTCTGTTTATCCGGCTGGTGCGCACGATAACTCTCGAAGGGAGTGAGCGATTTCACCTAAATATTGCATAACATAATATTTCTCACAAACTTAGTTCATGTTCGAAGATGGGGAATATCGGTCCACTTTACCAAGTCTACATAAAGTCCACAAAGGGCCAATATTTCATAAATTTGTATATTTAATTTGAAGCGAATTGAATAAACGACAAGAACATTAAATCCGATACCTCATTGATAAAAACTGTGAAAGCTCATCGACAAAATAACACAATTCCGAAGACCTCTGCAAACCATAGGCAACACCGACTGTCAATTTTTTACTAGTTACGAATGTTTTAAGCATGAAAAAGGGTTGGCAACGCCGCATAGGTATCGCTCAGGAACTGTTGAACATTGTCAAAGAAAATCCCAATTACATCAAAAACGTCATAACTGGCGACTAATCAACGATTAGAAACCGTAAGCAACACAGTACAACAACAGCGTTGCACGCCGGAACTATTTAACATCTAACTTTCCGATATTCCACGCTCTCCGGACGGCATAGAAATCGTTACATATGCAGATGATTGTATGATCTTGGCGTCAGGTCCCATTTTGAGGACATATGTGTGAGGTTGAACGCCTATCTCGTGAATGCAAGGAATATGAAAATATCCGCCACGAAGTCGTCAGCCACATTATTCACCACATGGTCTGCGGAGATTAGAATGCCGTTGAATGTGCAATTCCGACCACCAACTACCCCAAAATACTCGGGGTCACATTCGACAGTATGTTTAAATCATCCGCGCAAACCACAGCTATATACGATAAGTTGAAAATTAGGAACAAGGTCCTCAAGTCGCTTGCCGGCAGCTCTTGGGCGCAGATACGGAATCCTTGTTGATCTCTTGCGGTTCCAGTGTTGTCTGCGAACTTTAAGGATACGCAATGAAGAAGTAATCAGACCTGTCAGAACGCCGCCCTGAGGACTGCGACAGGGTGAGACGAAGATCCTTTCCTTACGTCAGCATAGCAATATGCTTTCGTTGCAGTACCTGCTGGGGTACTTCAGGGACAAACATCCCAACCATCATATGGTGGATAAGACTCCCCCACACAGGCGTGCCAGGAAGGATCTTCATGATATAGAGCGAGAGGTTCAACGTTACAAAAGGGAGCCTCTAGATCAATTTGCCTATCGAGCAGGTCTGAATAGCATTAATACTGATGCAGTAGCCGCAGCACTGAACGGATACAGATTGAATGCTGTCCTCGGAGCTCACCCCCACCCATATCAGCTGAAGAACGTCACCTGCCCAGACAAATCAGATTAGTTTTGGCGCAATTACGTTCAGGATGGTGCAGTCGTCTCAATTCGTATTGGGCACGGATTGATGACCAGGTGCAGGATGTCTGCCCAGCATGTGGTACGGGTCCACTCTCATACCACACTGCACTTATCCAATTGCCCAGCCAAATCCACTTATCATACTCCTCAAGATCTGTGGTTGCAGCCAGTTGAAGATGGAATTTAAACCGGAAATATATTCATATAAACTGCTACAACATCAACCAATTCGAGTGGCTGTATTGATAATGAAGGATCAATATTTAGCGGGCCAAATGAACCAAAACTTTCTTATTGAGTACATTATTACTCCGGGAAAATATGTCGCAGAGGATTTATTGACCTCTATTCGGTCAAGGGAGTGCAAATATCGCGTAATATTAACCAGGCTCGGAATGCAAAGCGGCAGAAACATAGAGCTCGCTCAGTGGTAGTTGTGTAGTACAATATACTGTTATTTTGAGAAAAAATATACATATTTACATATTTCCGACTATTCCTCAAAAACATCCTTACAAAAGAGTAGACTTTTTGGGGCAGAAAATAGTAATAATATCTTCGATCTTCGGTTCTTTTAACTCTATGATTTTTTTCTTATATAAGTTTATTGTTGAGTATATATTTTTTTATTTTTCTTTGGTAAATGTTCCACATTTATACATATTTTTTCGATTTGTTTTTAAATTTCTGTTGATAAAACACACAATTTTTTCTGCCTCTATGATCCTCTGGATCACTGGCCCATGTATTTCTAACAAAAAAAAAAAAAAAAAATCAAATATGTACATTCGTATTCGTAGCACATCTTGAAAATGGCCCCTTGCTTAGTGGAGCATCGTATGCCATAGTTGGTGGTAGTTCAGGACAGCAACAATTGACAAATCTCCAAGCTAATTCCTCTCATTTACAAAATGGTTTGTTAACAATTTGCCTTTACTATAATATTAAACAACTGCATACATACATATATATTTCTAACATGTTTTCTAAATTTGTTTTTATTTACATATTTTGTTTTTGTTTGTTTTATTCTATTAAGCAGCCCATAATACTTCCAATAATTCGGCAGTCGGTAGCATTGCGAATGTAGTGCAACAAGGAGCCAATTCAACAAATGTTAATAATTTGGCAACATCTGCCGCCAATTGCATTTCACCCAATGGTATGTCCGGTTTGCAGCAAGTTCTCAACGCACAGCAACAAGTTTTGGGTTTGGCGGGAGCCAACAGTAATGCACGTGCATCGCCGGGACTGCTGTCACCGAAACACATGAATGGTAAAGAATAATTGATTTTGTTTTTTCAATATTTGTAAACAATTTATTTTTCATTTCAAAAAAACTCCATAGGCCTACCGGTGTCAAGTGTTGCAAATAATACAAATTCTGTTGATGCTATTTCGCTGAAAACAATGGCCCAAGAAGCCATTAATCGATCTGTGATCGATACAAATAGCCTTTCGCAGCAGCAGCAACAACAACAGCAAGCGACAAATATGGATACAAGACAACAACAGCAGCAGCAACAACAACAACAGCCACAAGTACTACAACAGCATTTCTCAACGGATACAACTGCCAATTCCCATCAGCAACAGCAGCAGCAGCAACAACAACAAGGAAATTCAGCGACAGTTTTGGCCGCAGCAGTTGCTGCTTCAACAAACGGTCCATCATCGGTGGTTGGCAGTAACAGTGCTGGTGCGGGTAGTGGTGGCAACTCTGTCGGACCCATTGGTAGTAATCTTAATGCATCGGCTTTATCAAATGCTGCCGGTCAGCAGCCCATAGGTGCAGGTGCATCATCTGCAAATAACAATAAACAATTATCCCAACAACCAACAAATGAAGCACACATACCACCACTGCTTGGTGTAGCACCATTGGGTCCCTCGCCGCTGCAAAAGGAACATCAACTACAATTCCAGATGATGGAAGCAGCCTATTATCATTTGCCAACGCCTAGCGATTCAGAAAAACTGACAACATATTTCCATCGTACACCAGTGCAAACACCGCCGCACTATCCACAGGTGAGTTGTCCTTTTTTTGTGTTAATATTAGTAGATTTAAATATTACTTCAACTTTTCATTACAACTTCAATCTTAAAGTTCCCTTCGAATTGACATTATTTTAATTTTAAAATTTGGAACGAATCCAAAAAGTATTCCATTTCGGATCACAGGATGGTATTTTTTTTAATAATTTCTTAATATCGGAGTTAAACTGAAGTCAACTAGAAATTTCTAATAGCCTTTCAAAATGTACAGAAGTGAACGTCAAGAAGGCAAATCTTGGACTTAATTTTGTTAGTCTCTAAAGAAGTTAACGAAACACAAAAATGTTGGCACATTAGGATAGGTTAGATTATTGGACAAAAGGCATCATAGCATATCAGACTATGGTGAGCTTCATTAATATACAATCCCAAACTAGTATTAAATATATATATATATATTTGAAATCTGACTAATGGAAATCAAAGGTACTGGCATATTGAGATAAAATAAAGTAACACTCCTTTTCTTTAAAATCTCCAATACTAAATGGATAAAATGCAAAAGACTGATCAAAGAGAGGTTTGGGGCACAACTATGACATCCGAAACTGATGACATAGCAGAGACACTAGATAGTACAATAGTAGAAGCCTCCAATGGATGTTGGCCTCTTTGAGAAAACAATCGCCTCCGAAAAAACCATGGATTACAGGGGAGATTGAGAATAAAGGGAATGTGATCCACAAACTTTTAGACAGACTACGGTCATCATATACTTCCGTAACAAGACTAAAGACGGATAATATTCGGGATACTGATTAATGAAAAGATAATTCAACATAACTATGACAGCCTAAACACTGATGACATTCACTGGAGGAATATCACAATACTAGCTGAAAAAAAGTAAAGTCTTTATGAAGAAATTTGTCCTTTTCGAGAATGGAAATTTGCCTTCGAAAAAACAAAAAGTGTTATACATTTTTCTTAATAGGATTCCAATTCAAAAATGATAAAATGGTTCTACAACAGCGTTCTAAAGATCAGTTCTAATATACGCTTTAGTAGTATGGTGGGTAGCGATGGACAAAAAATATAACACTAGAAATATGTAGCAAGTCACAATATGGGCCTCAATAAATACCATCTGGAAATTGTTCTTATACATATGACCTCCGCTAGCACGAAGGACAGCGGTACTCTTTGCAGAAGAATTGTGAACTTAAATTTCACTTTGCCTGCCAAACCTCAATACGGCTCAGGAGGGTATTCGAGGAAATTAGAGGAAATTGGCAATACTAAATGAGCAAGGGCCCTAACCACTGTATCAAACTAAATGGCAGTAATATGTATATGCCTTAGGGAAGGTCGAAGTTCCTTCAGTTCAGCCTGCCAAAAAAATAGTGATTAATTCTATTTTAGAGAATTTAAACATTGATTTTTTGTCAGCAAATACAACGCCAATAATTCAGTTAATAGATCAGGGTATAATTCGATCTTTTAAATGTCAATACCGTAAAAGCATTATACCAAAACATGTTAGGCATTTAGAATGTGGATTGTCTTTTGAACCAAAAAACAAAAAATGATTTGATGTGAGAGATGGACCTGAAATATTAGATTTAAATAGATCGTTAGCGATTAATAATAGATAGAAGAATGAAGCCACTAACTCAACCCAAACCACCAACGTTAGCTCGTCGGTAACTAATTCCTTGGGTACAGTGTATCTGCTTCTTGTAGGGAAAACTCGCGCAGTACAGTGTATCTGCTTCTTCTAGGGAAACTCGCGCAGAAGCAGTTGTGTAGACAATTGAGGATTAGTAAATTAGGTCTTCAGTTCGATGGTAGTTTGTTCAGACTCTCTGTTGAAGAATTTCTGTATTGGCTACAATACTTCATGGGCCGAGTCGTGGTATTGGCGGCTTGAAAAAAATAGGAATTTCACGATTGGGATGAACAGTTTAATGAGCAAATACCAATCCTCAAACACCAATATAGAGTTGATTAGCCCAAAAGAAAACAATCAGCCTCATTATTTTTTTTTAGAAATCAGTACTTATGTGTATTAAAAGTACTAAATGGTACTATATTTGCGGTAGGATTTAAAAGTCGTACTTATGTGTAAGAAAAGTACTAAATGGTAACAAATATTTTACAATTTGTTTTTATGTGAACTGATAGGGTTGAAATACGGAAATTTGACATTAAGGGTCATACCTAAATTCATGCGTATGCGTACGAATTTAATCACCTCAAAAGTTAAATACATATATTTCAATAAACGTTACCCAAATATGCATTACGTATCAAAATATAAAGTTGAAAATTTTCAACTTTTTGATTTTAAATTGTTATTACAGTACAAGAACTATGAAAGTACAAAATAGCACATCTTAATCCATTATTTTTTTTAGAAATCAGTACTTATGTGTATTAAAAGTACTAAATGGTACTAAATTTGCGGTAGGATTTAAAAGTCGTACTTATGAGTAAGAAAAGTACTAAATGTTAACAAATATTTTACAATTTGTTTTTATGTGAACTGATAGGGTTGAAATACGGAAATTTGACATTAAGGGTCGTACCTAAATTCATGCGTATGCGTACGAATTTATTCACCTCAAAAGTTAAATACATATATTTCAATAAACGTTACCCAAATATGCATTACGTATCAAAAAATTAAGTTGAAAATTTTCAACTTTTTGATTTTAAATTGCTATTACAGTACAAGAACTATGAAAGTACAAAATAGTACTAAATATGGTACACGTTGGATTTAAGTGAATTGATAGGGCTGGGATCCTGAAATTTATGATTAAAATTACTGTTGGAGTGTAGAATTGAGGAAGATTTGGAAAATCGTACTTACTTATAGGAAAAACAATAAATGGTAGTAAATTTGGTACCATTTGGATGTTGGTGGACAGATTGAGCTGGAATCCTTAAATATGGACATAATATTATTATTGGAGTGCATGACTAAGGTAGTTTTAGAAATTCGTACTTTTGGGTAAAAAGTACTAGTACTACTACAAATTGGACTTTGGTCAATTGGAATCCTGAAAGTTGCAACACTGATTACTTTCGGATTGGGATAGTTTTGGCATATGGGTACAAAAAGTACAGAATAGCACTAGTCGGAGCCCATATGGACATGACTCCCCTACTACAGCGCATGTAAACCCAGTCCAAAAGTCTTTTTGTCCCCGTGGAATATATATATATATATATATATGTAATCGATTGGAATACAGTACCAATCATATACTACGTTTCTAATATATATATTTTTTTTAATTTCATGAATACTAATTTGAGTTTTTTTGTTAACATTTCAGCAACAACTTCCAATTTATGATACTGTTGAATTTTATCAGCGTCTCTCGACAGAAACTCTATTCTTTGTTTTCTATTATATGGAAGGATCAAAGGCTCAATATTTAGCAGCTAAGGCATTAAAAAAGCAAAGCTGGCGTTTCCATACTAAATATATGATGTGGTTCCAACGACACGAAGAACCCAAAATTATTAACGATGATTACGAACAAGTAAGCAAAACCGAAGAAAAAAAAGCATATTTCAAATTTTCTCGATGACAAAAATCAATACAAAATATTAAAATTTAATGTGTTCGAATTTTCTCTCTACTCTAGGGTACGTACATCTATTTCGACTATGAAAAATGGAGTCAACGAAAGAAGGAGGGATTTACTTTTGAATACAAGTACTTAGAAGATAAAGAGTTAAATTGATTGTCTTGTAAATGTTGAAGAGAGCGACACACAACAACAGTAACCACAATGATTTCAATGGATCTTCAAAACAACAACAACAGCAACACAATACCAACAACATCCAGCAAACAAGCTATTGCTTATGAAAAAAAAACATAAAAACAAAACAAAAGTAATTCAACAAAATCAACATCCAACCAACTATAGACTCCATCCCTCCCTCCCTGCTCTACCCTCCCCTTGTAAAAAGAAACTGCTTATATTTTATTTGCATTGTTTTTTCTTCTACTTTCGTTCTTTCTTTTGTTTATTTCCTTTCTATTTTACTTTTTTTCTTATTTACTTTGATTGTAACTGAGACTTTAAATAAGATTTGAAAACAACAACAAATAATTAAAAAGATATTATATATAAAAATTAAATTTTGTTTTGAACTATGTTCGTTTGTTTGTCGTTTTACAGTTAATTTCTTAAGAAAAAACAAAACAAACAAAAAAGTTCGGTTGGAGTTTTTAGTTTCGATTACTTTATTTTTTCATTACATAAGCAGAAACTTGAAAATTATGAATTTTTTCTATGAACAAGAAAACAAACAAAAAATGAAAACTTCTGAAATATTTTGCAAATTCATATTACGTTAGTTGTACTCATATATATTTTTTTCTTTTTTTTATTTTAGTTTATTTCATTTTTTATTTTTTTCGTAATATTAAAGATTATATTATAAATATGATAAATTTGAAAACAAAAAAAAAAACACTTTAAAGATGGTTTTATTTTTTCTTCACATTTCATTTTCATTTCGAAAAAAAAAAAACAATTTTCATCCCACAAAACAAAAAAACTACATATTTGAAATTAATGTTCATATTAATATTTTGCAGAAACTAAAAGAATATCGAGTACGACGAAAATCAACAATTCGATTCTGATTATAAATACTGAACGGGTTTTTTTAATACTCTCCACCATAAATTGTGTCATAACATTTGCCACACCTTGAAATCGTCAGCAGAAATTTAGAACATATATGTGTTTTGAAATCGCGAATGCGAAAGTTTTAAAGAAAATTCCTCTCCTCTCGACGTCTTTCAATTCAGTGTCCAGGAATAAGTTATTTCAAATTATTATATGGGATAGTCCCAAGGAGCTAGCTATCTGCTAGTATTCCACATAGTTGTTTATTCAGTAGTGCTGCGCTTGGACCCATTCTATGTAATTTTCTAGCTCTTGCCAGCATCATCGCTGGTTGTCCGACTAATTATTGAAGTGGTTACTCGCATTTGCGATGGTCTCCGCAAAGTTTACGAGTCGAAAATGTATTGTATTCGCTGCGATCCAAGAAACCAAACTGACCGAGAACTGTAGCTTACAACGTTGTGCGGAAGGATCATTCCAGATGGGGTGTGGGTGTACTTGCATTCTTATTACTCGACTCTGTACAGTACAGATATATCTCATTTGTGCCAGGCTCTAGTGACCCATACATTAAATGTAGATTTGTATCAGTCAAGTGTGGAACAGTTCAGCCGATACCGCCGATGAATAGTAGTACACCACGTTATTTACCTGATATTAAGGTAATTTTAGAAGGGTAATATATCTTAACCATAGGAAAGCCAAATGACAATTATTCAGAGAGTTGACCAACCAGCGCATCAGATAACTTTTCATTCCTTCTGATGTACGGGTAGCAGAAAGGAAACTGAGGGATATCATTGCAAATGCAGCCACTAGATTATATGACGACCACAGAACAAAAACGCCGAATAAAATTGTGCAGAGCAAAAACGACGCAAAAAAATTAACAGAGCGAAAATGAAGCAGTGCAGCGTACATGTGACACTCACACATATTAACGCTGTTGGTTGACTCTTGTTTTGCCTTTTCATAGTCAAGCAAATCTAAGAAAATACATAGAATGTAAATAAGAATGGTTATTTTCAAAACGTTTTAAACAAAATTTTATGTGTGTAAAAGTTATTTTATTAGAACAAAAATATAGCACATGAGAATACAGGTTTAATATTACTTTTAACACACTTTTACAGGTTTAATATTGACTTATAAAAATAGCATCACTATGTGCATGCTAGTTAACAAAGTAAGGAAAAATCAAAAAATTAAAATTCATACAAAAAATTTTAAATTTGTACTATATTATGTATATAGAAGTAACACAATGCTTATACGTTTTTGGTATGACAAATACATGTAGAAAATATTAGCTTTAATTTAATATCTTAAATACTGATGATATGAAGCTTACATACATCGATGTTTTGTACTAAATTCTTTAATCCATTTTTTTATGAGATCGATATTTATTAAAAATAAATATATTATAAATAGAGGGAAAAACAAAGCAAAGTAATTCAAGATAAAAAAAATACCATCTTTTAATTTCTACAATATCCTAAATTTGCATCGTTCCTTATTATTTATTTTCGCAGTTAGGCAATTTCGGTATCACTCCCATCACAAACAAAACCATAATCAATTGCTTCTTTGTTTTCATATTTTACGTTTACAAAAAATGCTCTGGATTCTACAGGGATGTAGCACATAAGCTGCTGGAGATCTAAATATTTACATTTTGTTATAGATTTTCCATCTAGATATAGACACGCCAAATCTAATATTTCAAAATCTTCTTCGCGTACACCTCTTTTTAACAAACTGACTACCTGTGTTACCATACCATTGAACAAATTTAATTGAAATAGATTACTCTTTTCCTGAATAATTCTTCGAACAGTGTGCCAATTTATTTTTTGTCCGTTAATATCTATTTTTCGATTCACAATAAGTTTTTCCAACTCTTTAGAAGTAACGAAATCTGGGGTGTTCATTTCTTTAACTATAAACTTTGGCTCGGACTTTTTGGCTTCTTTTATGATATTTATCCAATCATTTGGAGCCGCTACAATTTCAATTGTTTTTTTATATTTTTCAATTAAACTAAAGCATCTATCGCAACTGTTATAACTATGGCACGAAATAAAATACTTTTGAGTTATACTTTTTAAATGGGATGATGCTAAAAAACGTTTTAATAAAAGGACTACTTTAATATTTCGATTTTGACCTCCACAAGAATCGGAATACAGAATAACTTTATCTGTTGAAGATGGTACGTAATTTTTTAGATGATTAATTAAACAAGAACCGATTCCTTGCCCTCCTCTTGATGCAATACTTTCGTTCCACACATACATGTACCCTAAAAAAACAATATACAAAACCTTAAAATTTGTGTGATAACAAAATCAAATTTTATAGTATTAAATTCAACTAATTAAATGTTAAAAATTTAGATCTCATATTTACCTTTCTTGTTAATCTCACCATAGACACACAAATTGTACGTCCACAGTTGTCTCTTATAAAATGCAACGGATGTTGTCAAAGCAGGCGTCTCCAATGTTTTTTGTAGGTCGAATGTTAAAACTATCGAGGTTCCATTGCGTTCGGAATTATTCACATCTTGTTTGAACTCCTTGTTTAAATTTTCAACAGACTCAATATGTTTCAATTGGTTTCTTTTAATTTCAGCCCTTTCCTCTTCCACACCATTTGCTTTTAAAGAACACTGCAAATTATCACAGGTTTTGCATGTATCCGTATGACATCTTTTAAAGCCCAAATTGAAATTATTGTTGAAAATTTCGCTGAATACATAATGCGAAACAGGATGCTCATTTTTAAACTCAGTTTTTTTTTAAATTTAAATTTGGATGTAAGAATTTTTTGAAGATTTTTTACGACTGTAATGCGATTCGTATTTTGGGAAGAGATTTATAAAATTAATGACTTTGCAACGATCTTGTTCCGATGTTTTATTTGCAGGAGCTCCTCGCCCGCGAGTCTCAGCAGCACTAGGATTTTAATCATACTTTTCAATGCCCTTTCTATTCGTGATGGCGTTAAGTTCAAACATTTGATATAGAAATCCCGGGAAATTTTGTAAGAAACGCCATCACCATTTTCCAAACTGTACTGGAAATTCTGTCTCATTTTCTGTCGAATTATTTGATCGAATTTAGGAGACACAGAGATTTTTTTCACTGTTCCTCGAATCAGTAAGGTCTTTTGTGTCCAATTCAATGTTTTGTAAAAATTGTCGAATATTTCTTTCTGCCGTAAAATGTCAATTTTTTACAGCAACCCGCCCCACATTTACAAATTATTTGCCCTTCAAAATTCTTTGCCGCAATTAATCTACTACAAGTAGTTTTGTGTGCATTACCACACTCAACATTTTTCTTTGCAATGGTTCGCTTATGGTTTTCCAATTTTGTTTGTCTTTTTCGTGGATAAAGCGTTACTAAAAGTTACAGCGAAAAAATTCCTTAGCCATGATATTTAGATATTGAAATAAAATCTAATATCTATAATAAAATATTACTTACCATGATTTTCATCTTCCATGTTTGCGGTCAAAAAATATTCAAGCAAATAAATGTAATAATGTATAGTAAGCTCTCTGCAAAGCATTCCTTTAAAAAAATAACGGAACAACAAAAAACGATAACAAAAGAGAAACCGATCATGAGAGTCAACCACCAGCGATTGGTAATTCTCTTGAAATCTACAAGAGAGCATGAATGTTAATATGTGTGAGTGTCACATGTACGCTGCACTGCTTCATTTTTGCTCTGTTAAATTTTTTGCGTCGTTTTTCCTCTGCACAATTTTATTCAGCGTTTTTGTTATGTCGTCATCATATACCTGCTGTTCGAATACCCGAGATCAGACCTATTTTTCCAGGAGAGGCAATTGGTCTAGCGTGATGAGCTTCGACCATCAAACCCAGCAGATCCCCCGTTGGAGGCCAGCAGATTAGTCGCGTAGCGTAAGAGGATGCTGGAAGCATGTAAAGAGCTGCAAATTCGCTCTCAAGCCCTGGTAATGAATGAAATCTCTTCCTGTCGAGCAGGTCCACCACAGTGAACAATGGGTGATGTAGCATGTGTCATCCGTAGCGCAAAGTCATCTAAAGCATTGGGCCCTGGGCCCTATGGTTATGCTAAAACAGCTGGACGAGCCCGGAGTTGAGTA